CATGAAGCAATAGATTTGGCATCTGAAAGGAAGCTTAAAAGGTTTTAAGTATATAGGCTTTTGAAGTTGCACATAATGCAAAACATTCAAAATATTTGATACTCAATTTTATTTGAGGAGTTTGGATCTCTTACCCACACCTATCCATGCTTCATTAGAGTTGTACATTTTAAGAATATTTCCCATGTTTGCATGTTATTATTCATAGGGAGATGTTCCCAATGTACAATGTAATATCATGTGGGTAAATATGGGTAGGAGATCTGAATTCATCCATGACAGTGGTATTACTAATGAGCTCAGATTCTTGCAAGCAAAAACTCTTTGCACATAGCCTCCAGCCACACATTGAAAATATCTCCCATTCATGTATGTTAAATTCATAGAAAGATGCTCCCAATGTATGATTGGATTCCCATGATTTCAATTTTCAAGGTATGTGCAGAGTTTTTCCTTGCAAGGAATCCCATAGCATTACTAATATAGATACACAATGAAATCTCCTCCAACAAAAAAAAAAAAAAACACTACACACACTCTGCATGCACATGCAGCTACACATTTAAAAAGTCTACATATCATGGTTTTCAAAACCTGACTGGACTGGACGATTGGACTGGAAAAACCGGGAACAGGTCAGGTGACCAATTTTATTTTCCCCAAAAACCGGATTTTCCTCTAAAACCGTTGATTTTGGTCAGTGAACCGCTGAACTGAGTGGTTAACCGTTCAAACGGTTTTGATCGTTTTTTATTTTTTTGTCAGAACAGGCTGAGCGTTCGGTTTAAATGGTTGGACCGTTTAACCCAATAACCAAACCCTTGACCAGTTCGGTCACCGGGTCAGTTTTAAAAACCATGCTCCATATACATGTAGAAGATATTCTTAATATGCCGTTGGATGCCATTTGCACAGAGTTTTTGGTTGCAAGAGATCCTAGCTCTATCAACAAATTTAGCTTTTCTAGGCTTAAAAAATAAAATAACACAGTAATATTTTCTACATGTTTGTGTGGATTCTCTGGTTCTCTCTCATTGAAATTTAAATTCAATTTTGTTTCTACATTCTCTAACTAAGTGCCTGTTTAAATTCAATTTTGTTTTTGCATTCTCCTAATTGGAGGACTTTCTGGATACGCCTTCTGGCGTTCTGAGTTGAGACTCATACAGAAACATCGATCACCATATTCCAAGTAACTTCTCTAGAACACGATTACTCAACCACCACGGGTGAATCCAGCACCTCGCTTCCAACGTAGAAGCCCTCCTAAATGGGCTCTAAATCTAGTTTCACTAACTCCCATTTTAAGCCATCTCTTCTAATCAACTACATTATTTAAGGTTTATCTCCCAATAAACTTCCATGAAAAATGATAATGAACATTTGTTAAAGAATTAAAAAGCTAGAAGAAAATGAAAATAAAAATAAAGGAAAATATAAAAGAAAAAAGCACTATTGTTAGGAATGGATTGGACCGGATAGAGCTGGCAGTCAAAAGAATGGTTACATGGTTCTTAATTAGCAACATTGAGTTACTTAACCCAGATCACACCCTAGTTTCTGGACAGCCGCCTGGTAAGCATATTAGGTGAGCATATGAAGTATGCACACAACTTGTAACATAATGGTAAATATATGATGCTGGAAGGTATGATACAAATTAAAGAACTTTGACCATAATACTGGCTGATCGGTTATAAATTTTTCCAGCAGTTATCATAATAATTCCTAAACATAATTTTCATCTCAAAAGTAAAAGTATTGTGGCTGTATGAGGCTAATAGATTATTTGATCTTCATGTATGTGACAATCAGCATATGTGATATGACGTACAATTTTCAATTTGAGTAAAGCGCCTGGTAAATACATACGGAGATCAAAGATGAAGACAATAGGCAAGGGTGGGGACTGATGGGGAGAGCCTGGATCTGCTTCTTGCTTCTCAACATGCTATGTACATAACCCAATCACCAGTGTTCCATATACACAAGACCCACACAAAATGTGCTCAAACATCTGTACATGATCCTCTCACTATGCTACCAATCACAAGTAAACACACCAATATTTCATATAATATTGCAAGGCGTGCTCAGACCTCTGTACGTGATCCTCTCACCATACTACGTATTACTTGCTATATAACCAATCACAAGTAAATACACCAGTATTCCATATACACAGGTCCATGCAGGGGATGCTCAGACCTCTGTGTATGTGATCCTCGTTCAGGTGTATGAAACACTTGTGATTGGTTATGTAGCAAATAAATTATACGCAGGATGGTGGGCAGCAGATCTGAACCTGAAGATGTCACATACAGAGAGGTCTGAGTAGGCTTTGTGCAAAAAGATAGATAATCCAGCATCTGTTAAGATGGCAAGTAGAGTAGACGAAAAAAAAAACTGGTGAAAAAGGGATAGTGGTTACCTTAAGACGAATTGGTGTGTCTCAATACCTTGAACCATGGTCAAACACAGTAAAAGGAGGAAATTTGTTTCATTCATTGGATGACAATGATGAGATATGGACCCAAATACAAATGAATCCAATCCAAAAGACGGAGAATATTGAATCGGGTCAAAATAACATGGTCGATCTGAAGATAATGTTGGCAGGCAAACCTCTGTGTGACCAATCATGATTGAACACACCACTGTTCTATACACATGCTCCCACATGGGGTAGTGCCCATTGTGCAGAACATTTACATGTTCACTCGTGATCGGTCATACAGTTGGGTTCACACTTGGAACTACACTCCTGCTTTTATGCAACAAGATCTCCTGAAAGCAAAGACTGGAGATATTCCCCATGTTTGCCTGCATGCTGTGTTCTCAGAATATTAGCTTTCAGGAGATCTGGGTAAACAAAGTATGTTTTTGCAAGACCATCATGGTATTAATAGTGTCCAAAACATGTCTCACCTGAAAATGTGTTCTCCATCAAATCTCTATATACATACAGTCGTCTCAAGGCATGAGATCTCTTACATTAGCAAGAAAAAGTGGTAGTTGCAAGCAGAAAAGGCATGGAAAATTGACCATCAACAGAATGGGCATTGATTGTCTTCTCAAGATGGAATCAATGTCCAAGGCTGTGGATTTGGGTGTTGACCTTAGTGGATAGGGTTTACCCCCTAGATACTTACAAGTCATTTCAATGCATAAGATCTCTTACATTGGCGAAAAAAGAGGTAGTTGGCAGAAAAGGCATGGAAATTTGACTATCAACAAAATGGACATCGATTTGGATTAAAAAAAACAAAAAACAAAATGGGCATTGATTGTCCTCTCAAGATGGAAACAGTGTCCAAGACATTAGATTTGGTGACCTTAGTGGACCAGGTTTACCCTCCTACAAGCTCACAACCCCCAATATAAGACAATAATAAGTGGGTTTAGGTGGCTGCCTTGTAACAAATCTTAGTGGCCCAACAAAGATACTAAGTTGTTGTAGGACATATATCTCCTACAAGCAAAAACTCTGTGCACATATGGCATCCAACTGCACATTGAGAATATCTTCCATAGATGTATGTTAAAGTAATTTATGGGAAGATGTTCTCAATGTGCAGCTGGATTCCCATTCTTTCAGAGCATGTGCAGAGTTTTTGCTTGCAGAGAATCCTGTCGCTTCAAGGAATGGGGACCCCAAAACAATTAGTTACTTAAATTGAACCCCAAAAGGCGAACAAAAGTTGTCTTCTTGATTGAGACAAAAACGTCAACATTAAATTGCAAAACTAAGTTGAAATACTATAAACATTGTGAGTGCTGTGGAGTTTACATTGGTTTGGGAAATAGATGCAAAGTCAAGAGGTTATTAAAGTAAATGAGTATATCAATTACTTGTTATGAGGGTAGTAGAACCGTTCTTTCGTGTATGGTGAAGCTTGCAAATCAAAGGAGACTCTTAATGAGTGGAAGGAGGTTGCAATCCTAACCAATGCCCCCTGGTGGCTTTGCATAGGAGACCTGAAATTAATGTTACATCCTTACAAGTGGGTAAGCAAAATAAAGCCGAATTTTTTAGGGCAAACCCCAGTGAGAACATGAGAACCAAGATTGCTTGGGCCATTTTTAACATGCAATGGAATTCCATGTTCAAACAAGCAAGGACTCAAAGCACATTTACAGAGGTCGCATGATGAACTGACTATGCCTACCAAATCCAGACTTCTCAGGCATAACGTTCCTCATTGTCAAATATTATTTTGTTAATTTGGTTAACTGTGTGATTGATGAATGAGAGTCTAGTCTATCAACCCATGATTGTCCATCACATTTAACAAAGGGGCACGGAAGATCAGCAGGTGGTCAAGGAGAAAGGAGACAAAATAGAGACAGATCTCCTAAAAGTAGAGTAAAAACTCTATGAACACACTCTGAAAGCATGGCATCCAACTGCACATTGGGCATGTGGAATTTTACAGGCTGGAAATTTGGGATTTAGGCTTCCTAATTTGCCACATGTATATGACTCTCACTTAAACGAACACTTTCAAAAATGCCTACCATTTCTCTCACATCTCCAATGTCCAATAATCCTACAGCCATGTAACAAGCACCCATTAAGATCTTATTAAACTCTTTCCCTGTTTCTTTCTGGTGTAAATAACCCTCAAAATGTTTTCAACACCCAATCCACCTACAATGCCCTGGTTTAGAGAAGTGACTTTATAAGCCATCAACCAAATAATATTGCCGTCACTACAATCTGCAGTCACAGGAAACAAGTCATAAGACGACACTGGAACTTCAATAGGTGCAACAATTGTTGTTACTTGGAAGTCTTCAACATTTACAGCAACCAGGTTCTTCTCTGGGTAAGGATTGAAACCTTCTTAAATTGGCAAAGCATATCCTAAATAAAGATGTGAAGTTTATTAGCAAATTGCAATCCATATGGGAGGCTCTATTGCGGTTCGACTGTGCATTTAAGTTACTGTTGAATAAGCTCGTTTTACCAAAAGGGTAAAATTACAACACATAAATCATCCAGGATAGTATATGTATGCTAATCTTAACCCTTTATGTTCAAGAACATAGATCATAGATTCATAGTGAAAGGTATAAATTCCTAAATGCCAGGTTGGCTCGATCATCCAAATATCTGCCAAAATGCCCTCAACAGAAGACGTCAGAAAGAAAAACTACATTAAACTTAAAAAAAAGAAATAAACAGATCAGTATATACATACGGTTGGATGACAGGGACACACCTTATTGTGCAATACAGACTTTTTCACACGAGTTTATCTGTTAAAAAAGTCAAAACATGCAAAGGTTGGTTGGCTTGTTTTGCTTCTCTAGAACATTTTTCCAATACCATCCTTTCTCGGAACAGACTCATGGATATCAAGTTGATGCCAATTGCCTACCATTGATGCCATCTGTTCAACCTTGTCGAATAGCCCAAGTAGCCCACCAGTGTGTACAAAGAGAACCTTTCTTCCTTCCCACTTTGTTGGATTCTCAACCATGTCCTTTAGCAAGCCATATGCAGCTTTTCCACTGAAATTAACAACCAAAGAAAGGAATATCCAATATAATTTTTTATGCCCAGAAAATATTCATCAGATGATAGCTGCACACACAAAGAACGTACAGCATGGTATTGACCTATTCTATTGCTGTTTTCCTTTCACTATTTTATGTTCCTGACAGGCGTACTTTGTCATTGAACCATGGGCTTTATTTAGCATTTTTAGTCTTTTTTGTGCTGCCACCCAATCATTGGTTTTCTTGTAAATTCTCTGATTAGTTATAGTGAACTGGAGTTGGTGTGTAGTGTGGTGACTAATTAGTGTGGTGGAGTGACAGACTAGTAGTAGAATTTGAGCTGAAACCTATGATAGTAAGTACCCTAGTAGTCATCAGTCGTTGGTATGTAGTGTGGTGAGTCTGGTGACTAATTAGTGAAGCGGAGTGACAGAATAGTGGTAGAATTCCTTTCCTTTTCCTTGTGCAGTCATGGGAAATAGCAGTGAATTCAAGTCTAGTGTGATGGTCCCTTCTGATTATCTGAATGTGCAGATGACATCTATCAAACTCAATGGTGAGAATTATGTGCCTTGGGCTAAATCTGTTGAGGTTTTTCCGAAAGCTAAGAAGAAAGTGAAGCAGTGAAGCATGTGAGGGAAGATAAACCCCCAACTGATTCTCAAGGATATGATGAGTGGGAGCAAGAAGATGCACAAATTATGACATGGCTATAGAATAGTATGGAACCCAAAATCAACATGAATTTCATGTTTTTAGATACAGCCAAGGAGGTTTGGGATCATGCAAAAAACTTTATTCTGGGCAAGACAACACTACTAGGATTTACCAACTATACCAAGAGTATTTCAATCTGCAATAAGGGAATCAAAGTCTTGAGGAATATTATGCTAGAATGAGAAATCTGTGAAATGAGTTGAATGTGTATCATCCTCTTACATCTGATGTGAAAATTCAGCAAAAACAGAGAGAGCAGTTGGATGTGACCATATTTTTAGTAGGGTTTAAGTCTGAATATGAACTGGTAAGAGCACAGATACTAGGTGGGTCTGCTCTTCCCTCTCTTGAGGAGGTATTTTCCAATCTCCGAAGGTTCTCAATTGGACCCACGAACTCCACTATACCAGATAGGTCTGCATTTGCAATAATGAGAGGGGGAGGCCGTGGAGTTAAAGGAGGAGCTCGGGAAGGTCAGCCTGGTTGTCGTCATGGTGGTTGTGTTGGAGGTCAAGACTTAAGGGGAGCCCATGGCAAAGGACGCAGTAATGGTCAAAGGAGGTGTACACATTGTGGTATGGATGGACATACTATCAACTTCTATTATGATCTACATGGCCCACCTTCGACTTAGGCAAATCATGCAATGGTAACTGGTGGTGGTTCGAGACAGGAATCTCAGCAAACTGATCAGATACCTTCTACTTCTATAGATGCCTACGAAAAGGAGATGATGAGTGTTCCACGTGATGAGTATGAGTGGTTCACTTAGGCTACGTCTCAGCAGAACACGGCTACCCTTGCACACTCAGGTATGGCTTGTCTAGTATCTAAACCTTCCCATTAGATTATCGATTCTGAAGCTTCCAATCATATGAATGGGACTCCAGGTGTATTTTCCTCCCTTTCTCAATCCTCCACATAACATTCTGTTACTCTTGCTAATGGTTCCACATCTTCCAAATGTGGGGTTGGTAATGTTGACATAGATTCTTTATCCCTATCATCAGTTTTGTATGTTCCCAAGTTTCCCTTTAACCTTATGTCTATTAGTAAATTGACCAAGTCAATTAATTGTCCTATCACTTTTTACCCTTCATCTTGTGTTTTTCAAGATCTCAAGACGGGAATGAATATTGGTGGAGGACATGAAGCTAGTGGACTATATTATCTTGATGGAGGTGTTTCGAGCCCTTCAGACATCTCTTTCTCCTTTTCAGTGGCATTGTAGACTTGATCATCCGTCCCTCAAAGCATTTAAGTTACTTGTTCCATTGTTGAGTCAGCTTTCTACTTTGGATTGTGAGTCGTGTCGGCTCAGGAAACATCATTGTATTCCCTTTAGTCTTAGGGTTGATAATCGTGTGTCAAGTCCTTTTTCTCTAATCCATTCAAACATTTGGGGCCCGAATAGAATAGTGTCATATAATTTGTTACAAGTACTTTGTAATTTTTGTTGATAATTATTCAAATATGGCATGGCTTTACCTTATGAAAGAAAATAGTGAATTGTTTTCTATATTCCAAAAATTTTATACTAAGACTCGCAATCAATTTAGTGTACACATTAAAATTCTTCATTCTAATAATGACCGCGAGTATTTTTACACGCCATTTCAAGAATATTTGGAACAACATGACATTATCCATCAAACCTCGTGTTCCTACACCACTCAGCAAAATGGGGTGGTTGAGAGAAAGAATTGTCATCTTTTGGAAACTGCTCGGTCCCTCTTACATCATATGAATGTTCCCAAACACTTTTGGAGCGATGTTGTACTTACATCTTGCTTCCTTATTAACCGTATGCCCATGTCCATCCTTGAAGGTCATTATTCTCCATTCTCGGTTTTGTTTCTTACTTTGTCTCCTTTTCCTCTTACTCCCAGGGTTTTTGGGTTTATGTGTTTTGTCCATAATCCCGAGCCTAGAATGGACAAGTTAGATGCTCAATCCACTAAGTGTATCTTCCTTGGCTATTCCAGGACTCAAAAAGGTTAGAAGTGTTATAACCCCAAGTCCCAACATTTTTTTTGTGTGTCCCGATGTTACGTTCTTTGAATCTATTCCTTTTTTCTCCAGGTCAGATGTTCCTTCTCTTCCAGTTCCTATTGAGGACCCCCATTCCTCTTGTTCCAGTTGTGACCAAGTCTCTGCCTCTAGTGCAACTTCCAATTGAATGACCACCCATCCGAGAAGTGTATACACATCGTCAAATACTGGCTCCTCCCCTAGCTTCATCTCTGTCGACAGATCCAACAGTTGTACCCATCCCAGCCCTACCCCCTGTTTCTAACCTCGATCTTCCTATTGCTTTGTGGAAAGGTAAATGTAGTTGCACTCTTCACCCATTTCTAATTATGTTTCTGTATCTCACCTTTCAGCTTCCCATCGCCAGTTTGTTTCTATGTTATCATTTGTCTTTATTCCCAAGGATGTCCAAGAAGCTCTTACTTCTCTAGGATGGCACCAAGCAATGGATGAAAAACTCCACTCTTCCGCCTGGTAAGCATGTTGTAGGTTATAAGTGGGTGTACACTGTTAAGTATTTACCTGATGGGAGTGTTGAGTGGTTGAAAGCTCAGTTGGTTGCCAAAGGTTATTCACAATTGTATGGTATCAATTACATAGACACTGTCTCCCCTATTGCCAAGATTGGCTCCGTTCGTGTTCTGACCTCCCTTGCTGCTATGTATGATTGGCCCTTGTTTCAGCTTGACATCAAGAATGCTTTTTTACACAGTGATCTCGTTGAGGAAGTGTACATGGAGCATCCATTAGAGTTTGTTGCTCAGGGGGAGGGTGGTAAGGTATGTAGACTTAAGAATGCTATTTATGGGCTTAAACAATCTCCCCGTGCATGGTTTGGAAGATTCAATAAAGTGAAGAAATTTGGCATGAAACAGTGTCAGGTTGACCATTCCATATTCAGCTATGAGTCCAGTGCTGAGAAGATTTTATTGGTGGTATATGTAGATGATATTGTTATCACTGGCAGTGATAGACCAGGGCTTGATAGGTTGAAGACTTATTTGCATGATCACTTCCAGACAAAGGATCTTGACAAATTAAAATACTTCTTAAGGATAGAAGTAGCGAGGTCCAAGCATAGTATTAATTTGTGCCAGAGGAAATATGTTCTTGATCTACTAGAGGAGATAGGATTGGTAAGTGCCAGACCAGCCGAAACACCACGGAACCAAATGTCAAGTTGAATAGTGATGCAGGTGAGGAGTTTGAATATCTTGGAAGATATAGAAAGTTGGTAGGTAAGTTGAATTACCTAACCATCACTCGGTTTGATATTCAGTTGCATTTAGTGTAGTGAGTCGGTTTACGTAGAATCCTCGAATTCCACATTGGGAGACGGTTCTAAGAATTGTACAGTACTTAAAGGGAGCTCCAGGTTGTAGTCTGTTATATAAGAGTGGAGGAAGTCTTGAGATAGAGGGATACATGGATGCTGACTAGGCCAGTGCCATATCTGACAGAAGGTTCATTACATAATATTTGCACTTTTCTTGGTGGCAATCTAGTCACATGGAAGAGTAAGAAGCAGGCAGTGGCAGCAAGAAGCAGTGCAAAGGCTGAATATAGAGCCATGGCACACACAACATATGAACTAGTGTGGTTGAAGCATCTCCCAAAGGAAATGGGGTACTCGATTAATACTCCTATGAAGCTATATTGTGATAATCAAGTTGCAATTCGTATCTCTAATCCAATGTTTCATGAAAGAACAAAGCATATAGAAGTTGATTGCCACTTTGTACGAGAGAAGGTGCTTAATGGAGTGACAAGTACAACATATGTGAACACAGGAAATCAATGGGCAGATTTGTTTACCAAAGGGTTGAGTCAGGAAAGAGTGGACTACATATTAACAAACTGTGACTATATGACATATTCTCACCAGCTTGAGGGGAAGTGTTAGAGTCGGGTGTAGAGGGGTAGTATAGGCAATTTACATTAAGCTATATTTGGATGTAATTACAAGTAGGTCTTAAGTTATCTAATATGGCTCTCACTTAAGTGAGGGCACAAGAGTAATTCTGATATGTTTTTTAGAAAGTTATAAATAAAACCTGGCCGACTAGAGAGTGATGTTTTCACTAGTTCGACTGGACCTGTTTTCTCTTCTCTTCTTCTCTTCTCTCTACTGTTTATACAGGTTTCTCTTCTCATTATTTTGAAATATAAGAACACTATATACCTGAATTCTATCAAGTCTCATCCACCCTAATTTCATCACAGCTCAAGTCACGCAAAACATTACTCAATGTTTACAATTTTCCAATAAATGTTATACTTCTATCCTCAATGATCATCAGTGTTGTTGATTTTCTTCCACACCTTTTTTTCAGTTTTGGTAGCTCTTCACCTGTTGATTTAACTGATTTGTGGATATTCATATTACAGCCAATCTACTTATTGTTTGATTATTTTTTATAGGGACTCATTTGTTCATCAAGGGGAAGATGAAACAGAGTTCTTTTCAATATGATAAGAGTAGAACACAATGAGATATGTTCGCAGATCTCACAATAGGGTACTATCACAGATTGTGCCAAGCTTTCAATCATTACCAAATGATAATAGATTGAATTTACAGGAAGTGGAACCCAACGGTTTAAATTGCATATGAGCTGTAAGTTTGATAGAGTGCTCTACCCTTTTCAACCACCCAAAGACAACCCAGTAGCACCAAAATTAATGACAGAACAAAATATACAAGAAATCAGCTAAACCAGATTAGGGTAGTGTCTGACCTGTAGACTGGGTCAAGAACAACCCCTGTTGCAGAGGCAACTTCTTTAACAAATTTAAGCTCCTCAGTGGTGTTCATGGCATAGCCCAAACCCTTGGCCTGCAAAAGATAAAGGGAATTCATGTTTTGAGTATGAAAAAGTAACACTAAGATGCCAAGCCTAACTGCTGGATGAGTATTGCAATCATCCTTCCAGAAAATGCATTAGGCACTGAAACCCATTGAGTTTTTTCTCCAATAAGCTGACCTACCTATAGTAAAAGATAATGACACTAAAGCTGGATTGAAAACTTTTCACCTTTTATGAGAAATATAATTAGGAGCATAAAAAGAATACATGCCAAAGCTAAGTGAAAAATATTTGAACTTGCACAATCAAAAAAATAAAAAGGAAAATTAATAATACGGTATAACTATAAAAGGCACAAGCATGGATCTTAGCATGCAGGAGATAGTGAGAAACATAATCATCTATCTTTAGAAGACCTTTAATGGGAAGGGTGAGATTGGAGGGGCTAGAGTGGCCGAGATTATCGGAAGAACACAAGGCATGGTTGGAGAAGGAATTTGATTTGGAAGAAATAAAGGAGGCAGTTTTCTCAATGGGTAGAGCCAAAGCACCTGGGCCAGATGGTTTCACCATGGCATTCTATCAAGATTGTAGGGACATTTTGAAAGATGATTTATTGAGGGTCTTCAATGAATTTTTTAGAAGAGGGATAATAAATCCTGGATTGAACTCTACCTTTATTGCTTTGGTCCCATTAGCCTGGTTAATAGTTTGTACAAAATCATTGCTAAGGTGTTGAATTGAAGGATAAGATTTGTGCTTCCTTCTATCATCTCTCCAAATCAAGGAGCTTTTGTCAAAGACAGACAAATTATCAATCAGATTTTAATAGCGAATGAGAGTGTTGAAGATTACAAAAGGAATAGAAAGAAGGGTATAGTCTGTAAACTTGATTTGGAGAAGGCCTATGGAGAAAATGGATTAGGGGATGTTTGAAGACTTGTCACTATTCAATCCTAGTGAATCGAATTGTAGTTGATCACTTTTTAGCGCTGAGAGGGATTAGGCAGGGTGACCCTCTTTCCCCCTTTCTTTTTACCTTAGTAGCTGATGTCCTAGGGAGACTAATCAAAAAAGCAGATTCTAGGGGGTTGGTAAGAGGATGGAGAGTGGGAAAGGGACAGTGTGAATATCACACACTTGAAGTTTGCTGATGACGCAATTTGATTCTGTGGAGGTGATCTTAGATGGGTGAGAAATATGAAATTAGCAGTTTAACTTTTGAGCGAATGTCAAACCTAGAAATCAATTTTGAAAAGAGTTGTGTGGTTGGAGTGAATATGGATGAAAGGAAAATGTCAAACTATGCAACTATCTTGGGTTGTGAAATATCGAATTGGCCCATGAGTTACTTGGGCCTCCCATTGGGAAACAATCCGAGAAATGTAAACTTCTAGAACCCAGTGGTGGATAGAGTAACAAAGAGATTAGCTTCATGGAAGAGGAATTACCTATCCTTGGGTGGGAGGATAACCTTGGCAATTTACATGTTTACTTCTTATCGATGTTCAAAATTCCAATTGGGGTTTCCAAAAGCCTAGAAAAAACAATTAGGAACTTTTTGTCGGGGCCCGGGGAGGAAAGAAAAGATCACATGATTAACTGGGAAATTGTAACCAAAAGTAGAAATCTAGAGGTCTAGGAATTGGTAATATTCAAAAAAGAAATGTGGCTTTTGTTAGGGAAGTGATTGTGGAGATTACCAAAGGTTGTGAGCCAAGGTGATTGTTAGTAGACATGGGTTGATGGTTGAAAGTTGGGATGCAGGACTGGGAGTATTGACTCCAGCTACTAGTGCCTCTTTGTGGAAATCTATACATGCCATCATTCCTTCCTCTTATCCGGTATAATCCAATGTTTTAGAAGGCGTGGGAGGCATACACCTGGAGGCACTCCCAAAACGCCCTGAGGCGTATGCCAGAGGCACTGACACCTCTGGGGCATACGCCTCTTGCACCTCTTGCGCTTTTTTCATGAGGCATACGCCTCTTGTGCCTCATAAACATCTGATATGAAAATACAGAAAAAAAAAAGAGAAAAGGAAAAAAGGAAAGGAAAGAGAAGAAAAAAAAAAGAGAAAAGGAAAGAAAAGAAAAGGAAAGGGAAGGGAAGAAAAGACAAGGGGAAAGAAAATGGTTTGCCCCCTGCCCCTTCGCTTCGACAAGACCCCCCCTTTGAACTACTATTATGCATCTTTATTCTTCTTAATATAAAAGATTTTTATTAAAAATAAAGAAAAAATGAGATCCCCCCTTCCTCTTCATCCTCCTCCTAACCCCCCTCCTCTTAAGGAGGCTTACACCTCCTTGTGTTCGGGAGGCTTACACCTCTTGCGTTCTGAATTACGCCTCACGCCTCTAGGTAGTGGAACGCCTCGCGTCACGACTCCGCGTCTATAATCTTTGCTCTGGGAACTTGGTAAAATTTTGGGAACATTTTTGGGTGGGGATTTACGATTGAAAGATCGTTTCCCCTCTCTCTTTGCCTTCTTTGATTACAAAAGTGAACCACTTTCCACTTTCCTCTCATCCCTCGTTGAGGATCTTGAACTTATGTGGGCCTTGGGTTTTAGAAGGGGAACCAGGGGCTCAGATCTAAACAGTCTTTTGTCACTTCTTCATTTATTACAAGGCATTTGCTTGGACCTTTCAAATTTTGATTCGGGTATTTGGACTCCCTCCCCTTCTAGGCTTTTTTCTTGTGCCTCCTTCAAAGTTTTAACTCGAGATTCTAATAATGTTGAGCAAACATTTCCAGTTAAGGAAGTCTAGGGTAAATCGATTCCTCCTTGGATTGGGGCTTTCTATTGGGAAGCTTTTTTGGGAAGGATTAACATTGGTGATCTCCTTCAAAGAAAGAAGCATTTTTTGTGCTTATCTCCTAATTGGTGTGTTCTTTGTAAAGCTGATGGTGAGTCCTGCTATCACTTATTATTTTCTTGTTCCTTTGTGTCTTCTATTTGGGAATGGTTTTTTTCTTTGTAGGTTGCAGATGTGCTCCCCCACCGGATGTTCAAGGTCTCTTTGGCTCTGCTGTTGGCAGTTGGACAAAGAAGAGGGAAAAGGTGTTATGGAGAAGTACAAAGGCAGCAGTCTATTGGACAGTTTGGGAAGAAAGAATAACAGAATTTTTAACAACAAGGAAAGGACTAAAGGGGCACTAATTGAACTAATCACCACAAGGGTGCAGCAATGGGTAAAATCTTTGAAGCTATTTGAACACAACAGCTTTGCTGAATAATTGGAAGGAAGTGGCTTGGTCAGCTCCCAACAAGAATGTTCTTCATCCATTATGGACTGTTCCAACTCCTAGGTTCATAAAGCTAAACTTTGATGGCAGCAGCGAAGGAAACCCCAGCCCTTCAGGCATTCTAGGGGTCTTTAGGAATGAGGTGGGTAAAATTATTGCTATGTTCTCAGGTCCAATTGGGGAAGGAGACTCTCTCCAAGCTGAAGTTCTAGTTGTTCTAGAAGATGTCAAAAAGGCGAAGGAGCTCAACATAAGGAGGTTAATTATTGAGGGAGACTCAAAACTAGTAATAGATTGGTTGCAAAAAGAGGAAAGCAGAATTTTTAGTTACCTAAATGAGAAGAGAATCTTTAAATTGTGGACCCGAGACATGACAGTGAGGTTTCAATGGGTAAAGAGGTGTGCTAATTCGTTTGCAGATGCACTAGCCAAACAAGGGGTGGGAAGAAATCAATTGTTCTGGGCTTACATGTAATTTTTATTTTTAACTTTGGGGGAGTTAAAAGATTTTATCTCCCCTGCCGTGTACCTATCCTTTTCTCATTAATGAATTGATTCTGTTACTGATCAAAAAAAAAGAAACAGTGTAGCCATAGTTAATTGCTTACATCCTGAATGCTGACTATATTGCGTGAGCTAACACCTGCTTGGAGTCCATCAAGTAGGCCTTGAACGTAATCATAGAAGTAATCAGGACTATCACAAACAGAGAATGCATGAACCTGCATGTTCAAGAACTTAGAAGAAAAACCTCAAATTAAATGAGCTAATGAACACAAATAAGAAGAAAACATACTTTTGCCTTCAAATCACTCAGCCATGATCCCAAGGATAGGCCAGCAATGGTCCCTCCACTACAAATTTGTGAAGAAAAAAATAAGCACTGAAGAGTCAAGGACAGTATTATATTCTGCACCCACCATAATCTTTATAAAATTACAAACCAATTGTGATTCTACTTATTTCGGTTTCAAGGACTGCCAAGAAAAGATGCTGCAAATGACTTGGCTAGGTAAATTTAAAATTATTATAGATTTCATACCAAGTCATCAAGAAGTAGCAAGATTCTATGAATTAAATAGGGAAGAGACATATACAAACTAGAGCCATCTCAACAAATGAATGAAATTCAACAACATTTCACATCTAAAGGCCTCAAAGATAAAAATGCTAGTCCCGCTGCATACCATCATCTATGTGAAGTGTATTACCATAGTCCCTGTTGCATGCTAACATTCTTTATTTCTTCAATATCCTAACAGGTTGGTGAATCTCCCTTTTCTCTTAATCAGCTGATTCTTTCCTCTGGACTCTAGACTTGGTGTCACCCTAGGGACTTCTTGCTTCTCAATCACTTGGGTGAGATTTTAGATTGATTCTAGAGGGGGGTTTTTTGATAAGTTCAACAGTCCTGAAACTTACCTTTTTTGGACCACTTACACTAAGTATCAGTTTGTTGGAGTTTGGTTTGATATATTTCGGAGGATTTTGATTTCAATATAGGGTGGAACACCTCTTTGACTTCTTGGACTTGGTTTCTCTGCTAATTTTCTCTATATCATTATTTCGAATTTGTTGTCAAGGTTTTCTTTTGAGAAATCCTTCTTGTTTGGGTGTTGTGGTATTCACTTTAGTATTTGGACTGTTTCTTGATCAAGTTGAGTGGTTTATCACCTCAAGAAATCATGATCATTGCTGTCACTCTGTTCTCTCAACTGTATCTCTTATTCAGAATGCCTGAAAAGGTTGATATTATTCCAATGAAATTTGATGGAACCAACTACAGCAAGTGGAAATTTCATTTTGATTTCTTTGTTGAAGGAAAAGACCTAGAAGGTTATTTGAATGGGACAATTACTAAACCTTATGAAACAGATGCCAAGGCCTTTTTGCAATGGAAGCTAGACAATGTTAAAATAGTTTCCTAGATTCTAAGTTCAATTGAACCTCACGTTGTTGTACCCATGAGAAGAATGCAAACAGCCTATGAGATGTATACCTACTTGAAGAAGGTTTACCATTAATCTATCAAGACAAATAACTAGTTGAGTCTAATTTTTGCTAAAAAGATACAGGAATACTATGCAGGCTTTCTTGACTTGTGAGCAAAGTATGAACTGGTTCATATTGATCCCTCGGACTCCTCAGAGTGCATTAAATATCTTCAGAAGCACTTTGAGAAGACAAAGGTGAACCAATTCGGCTAAGGAAAGAGATACCATTCCAGATTTGGATTTTGTGATGGGAGAGTTGCCAAGGGAAGAGACTAGACTTATGATTATTACAAACATAGATGGAAAGTTGATTGATTCTAGGGATGATACAATTTTTATTGCACAAGGGAGTAAAAATTCTACTACCAAGGATTTTTCCGAAACCCACTATTATGAGTGTAAAGGGTTGGGACACATTGCTTCTCATTGCAAGAAAAAGAATGTCTAGACTTATTAAAAACAACATGGTCATCCAAGTGTACCATGAAAAAGAATCAGCCACAAGCATATTAGGTGACTGAGGCATAGACTGATGCCTTTGCTCCCAAAGTTGAATCTTCTGCTTTTATGGATGAGGAAAAGATACAACAATTGGTATCCTCTACTATCTCATTTTTATTTTCTGTTATTGACTTATTTGGTGAGATCTCTAGTTACTGCTCTTCTCCCTCTCATGTTTGGATAATTGATTTTAAGGCTACCAATCATATGACCGGAGCCTACCCTGAACCTATAAGTAAATGTTTTGAGACTCACCATATACACATTGTTACTGTAAATGGTAAGAAACGAAAAAGAATTGGGAGTAATGATTTATGCCTCAAGTTTTCACCCTTGACTTCCTTGTCCCTTACCAAGACTTTCTTTGTTCCCAATCTTACTACTAACCTTGTTTCAATTGGTCAACTTGTTGATGAAGGTCACATTCTAACTTTTTCTTTTGATGTTAGTTTAATTCAAGACTGGTGCATTGGGAAAGTGAAAGGGAAGAGGCATAGGTTGGGCCGCTTGTTTGCACTGGAGTTTGAGAAATCTCCAACGGTAGAATCATCTGCTTATTTTTGTTATTCATTTAGTCCTATTTTGGGTCAAAGAAATAATGTATGGATTTATTGTATAAATGTTTGGGTCACCCCAACTCTAAAAAACTCAAGTTTTTGTTTGATTCTAGCTTTATTAGACATAAAATTCCTTCTTTATAAACTTTTGATACATCTTGTGTTACTTGTTTAAGTAAAAATCGTACTTTGCCCTTTTCTCACACAGTTGAACATGCTACCTCTCCTTTTGAAATTATACATAGCGATATATAGACTTTATCAGTTGTTTCACAATTGGGATACAAGTGTTTTATATTGTTCATTGATGATTGTACCAGGTTCACTTCCTCAGACACAAGTCAGAAGTTTTTCCAACTTTTCAGTTGGTTAATGCTATGGTCCGAGTATAATTTCAATCTAGTGTGTAAGAAAACCCTATTCGATTCTAGGTTAAAGTAGAGAAGAAGAAAAGAAAGAAGAAGAAGAAGAAGAAGAAGAAGAGAAGAGAAGAGAAGAAGAGTTCGGCCAGATTAGGAAGAAGAAAAATCAGTCCTCCCTAGCCGACCCACTTGTATTTATTTCAAATAATAGAGTTACAAGAAAGACCATATTGTCCCTCATGAAAGATGGAACACATAACTTAAACTTAAATAAAATAGACCTTCCACTCTCAAACAGATAAACCAAAATGACCAAAATACCCCTGATTCGTGTATTCTAACACTCCCCCTCAAGCTGGAGAGTATATGTCATATAGTCCCATCTTGTCACAAAAATAATCTACTCTGCCCCGAGACAATCCCTTTGTAAAGAGATCTGCCCACTGATTTCCTGAGCTCACATGAGATGTGGTTATCACTCCACTTATCACTTTCTCTCTTACAAAGTGACAATCAACCTCATTATGCTTAGTTCTCTCATGGAAGACTGGGTTGGAAGAGATGTGAACAGCAACTTGGTTATCACAGTATAGTTTCATGGGTTTATCAACTGAGAACCCCATCTCTTGTAGCAAGTTCTTCAACCATACTAGTTCACATGTGGTATGAGCCATAGCCCTGTACTCAGCTTCTGCGCTACTCCTTGCCAACACTATTTGTTTCTTGCTCTTCCAAGTTACAAGGTTGCCTCCAAGGAAGGTACAATACCCTGTAGTTGATCTCCTGTCTGATATAGAACCAGCCCAATCAGCATCTATGTACCCTACTATCTCAAGGGTCCCTCCACTCCAGTATAGCAAACCACGACCTGGAGCACCCTTCAGGTACCTAACGATCCTTAGAACTGCTTCCCAATGAGGAATCCGAGGATGTTGCATAAACTGACTCACCATACTCACAGCAAATGATATATYTRGTCGRGTAATGGTCAGGTAGTTCAACTTTCCCACCAACCTCCTGTATCTTCCAGGATCATCAAACTCTTCACCTGCATCAACACTCAACTTGGCATTGAGTTCCATAGGAGTCTCTGCTGGTTTAGCACTTAACAACCATGTTTCTTCAAGTAGGTCAAGAACACATTTTCTCTTACATAAGTTAATTCCATGTTTTGACCTTGCAACCTCTATTCCCAGGAAGTACTTCAGCTTACCCAAATATTTCGTATTGAAGTGGTCCTGTAGGAATTTCTTCAACCTGTCGATTCTGTTACTGTCACTCCCAGTTATGACAATATCATCCACATACACCACTAGCAAGATTTTCCCATCTTTTGAGTCATGGCTGAACACAGAATGGTCTACCTGACACTGTTTCATCCCGAAGTCTTTCACCACTTCACTGAACCTACCAAACCAAGCACGTAGAGATTGTTTCAGTCCATAAATTGCCTTTTTGAGTCTACAAACCTTACCATCCTCCCCCTGAGCAACAAACCCTGGTGGTTGCTCCATATATACTTCCTCAATGAGATCACCATGTAGAAAAGCATTTTTTATGTCAAGTTGTACAAGAGGCCAATCATACATAGTAGCTAATGAAATCAACACCCAAACTGAACCAATCTTAGCCATAGGAGAAAATGTCTCCATATAGTCCACACCATACAACTGAGAATAGCCCTTGGCCACTAACCTGGCCTTCAATCGCTCCACACTACCATCTGGAAGATACTTCACTCTATAGACCCACTTACACCCAACAGCATGCTTACCAGGAGGAAGAGCAGTGAGTTCCCATGTGTGATTGTGTTATAGAGCAAAGAGTTCCTCTTCCATGGCTTGCCGCCACCCTGGGGAGGTAAGGGCTTCCTGGACAGTCTTGGGAATGGAAATAGATGATAGCAATGATATAAAGTTGCGATGAGAAGCAGACAGGTGAGCAGCTGAAACATAGTGTGAAATAGGATGAGAAGTACAAGTGCGTTTACCTTTCCAAAGGGCAATAGGAAGATCAAGATCTGAGGGAGAAGAAGCAATGGCAGGATCTGTTGACAAGGGCTGAATTGGAGGAGGGGTCGGTGCTCTTCTGTGGGTATACACTTGTGTGATTGGTGGCCTCTCAGTAGTAACTGGCATAGGAGGTGAATCTGCAGTAGGAATGGGAGCCACGGGAAGGGGATCTACAACAGGGACTGGAAGAGGAACCACAGAGGAAGGAGAAGAAACCACAGCATCTGAGAAAAAGGGAACTGATTCAAAGAAGGTGACATCAGAGCACACAAATGACTTATGGAATTTAGGGTTATAGCACTTATACCCTTTCTGAGTCCTCGAGTAGCCAAGAAAGATACACTTAGTAGCTCGTGCATCTAACTTGTCCAAACCAGGCCCTAAGTGTTGAACAAAACAAACACATCCGAAGACTCTTGGGGTGCGAGGAAATGGAGACAATGTGGGAAACAACACCGAGAAGGGGGATTGACTTCCAATGATGGACATGGGCATCCGATTGATTAGAAAACAAGATGTGAGGACGGCATCACTCCAAAAATGCTTTGGGACATTCATATTGAACATCAAGGACTGAGCAGTTTCAATGAGATGTCGATTTTTCCGTTCAGCTACACCGTTTTGTTGTGGGGTGTAGGCACAAGAAATTTGATGAATTATCCCATGGTACTCTAAGTATTGCTGAAATGATGTTGAGGTGTACTCTTTGGCATTATCGGAGCGAAGAATTTTAATATGAACACCAAATTGGGTGCGTATTTCAGCATAAAATTTTTGAAAGATAGAAAAYAAYTCACTGCGATCTTTCATAAGATAAATCSATGTCATCMTTGAAAWGTCATCAACAAAAATTACAAAATACTTATAGCCATTGTATGACATCACTTTGATTGGACCCCAAACATCAGAATGAACTAAAGAAAAAGGACTCGAGACACGACTTCAACTCTTGGACTAAAAGAAACTCTATGATGTTTCCCAAGCTGACATGACTCACAATCCAAAGATGAAAGATGACTCAAGGAAGGAACCAACAACTTYAGAGCCTTGAGAGAATGATGACCAAGTCTGCAGTGCCATTGAAGAGGAGTAAGAGACGACTGAAAAGCTACTGAAGGGCCACCACCATCAAGGTAATACAATCCACCTGCCTCATGCCCTCTACCAATCTTCATCCCCGTCTTGAGATCCTGAAACACACGAGAAGAGGGATAAAAGGTTATGGAACAGTTAAGAGATTTGGTTAATCTAATAACAGACATAAGGTTAAAGGGGAACTTGGGAACATATAAAACAAATGATAAAGACAAGGAGGAGAAATCAACATCACCAACACCACAGATGGGAGATGTAGAACCATTAGCAAGTGTAACTATTTGAGATGTGGAGGGCCGAGAAAGAGAAGAAAATACATTAGGAGTCCCAGACATATGG